TTGAGAAAGCACTCAGTAAATACTGTCTGTGGTGGTGGTTACAGCTTTTTTTTTTAACTTATTTGACAGAGAAAGACATAGCAAGAGAGGGAACACAAGCAGGGGGAGTGGGAGAGGGAGAAGCAGGCTTCCCGCCGAGCAGGGAGCCGGATGTGGGGCTCGATCCCAGGACCCTGGGATCATGACCTGAGCCGAAGGCAGACGCTTAACGACTGAGCCACCCAGGCGCCCTGGTGGTTACAGCTTTTTATTAAACTTTGTTGCCCCTCAAAGTGCAGGGAATCAGAAGCGTTGGTATCTTAGCAGCGATCAAGGAATTGAAGGTTATTCTTTCTCTCGTCATTTTCTCAGTTTATAAAATGTTTTTGACTGTACTAATGCGTGTACTTAACTCCAATCTGCCTTTGCAGACCATTATTTCAAAGGGACAAAAGCCTTTGTAATTTAGGAATGATTCTTGTTCGAGGGCTGCCTTTAACGAAACAATGGGTTGAAAGAAAGAGCCTGTTGCTTCACCTTCCCTTTTGCTCTGGGGAATAACTGACTATGAGATGAGAGTCTCATTTGCATCCAATTAGACATGCCTACTACTCATCCCACAATGTCAGCTCTCATTATGAAGCGGGGCTGATTTCTTTTCAAATCCAGCTTTGAGTTAATTTTTGAAACCAAAAATGGTTTCACCTTGTTTCTAGCTAAAATGTTGAGTCTAATTGGGTGCTGGCACAGTCATCTTGCTTGTTGAAGCGATTTGGTCGTGGCAGGTAAAGTCTCCAGCTGCTGCTTCTCGAGCAGAATTTGCGTCTACCAGGCGTGGGCCCAAGCAGCGATGGCATGGTGGTCGGGCCCGCTCTGTGGGGTCCGTGCTGGAGAAGGGAGGAGCACATGGGGGGGTGCGGTCTTCTGCCTCCAAAAGATGAATGAGGCGCACTCAAGACAACCCTGGCTAAGGCTGGCTCTCTGTGTGGCCCATGTTGACTGGATGATTAATCTCTCTTCAGTAAACAGGAGGTAAGCCCCGGGTGAGGGCACGGCAGAGTCTCCTGCTGGCCCGAGGTCAACGGGAACGGTGAGACAGTGTGTACTTCAGGGAGCTAAAGCCTGGTTCAAATCCCGTGTGTGTACCGCCTGGTAGCTTTGTGAACGTGGGCAGTGTATCCACCTCACTGGGCCTCGGTTTTCTTATCCATAAAGTGGAGCTAATGATAGAATCCCCTGCTGTGGTTGTCAGCAGGATTCAGTGGGATAAGATGGGTAAGGTCCTCAGCACAGGGTCTGGCTCACAGGCCACACTGACCACTGGTTTACTGCTGTCACTGTGAGGGGATCTTGAGAGCCCTGGGTGGCAGTGCACCCGCTCCTTGCTGCCCTCTGCTGGCACATATCAGAGCGGTCCGGTGAAGAGGAAGCTGGGAGAGGTTACCGTACAAGTAAGAAAATGCGGGTTTTATTGTTTTCTTGGTGACCTCTGAGAATATCTGTCCAACTTTTCAAAAAGAGGAGGACAGGAAAATACCCTGAGGTTCCTAAGAGCAGGCTGGTGTCTTCCATGTATAGGAGGTTACTTAGGAAAGCTGTGGCCGGCTTCCTTGCCCATGAGGTTGGGGAGGCTGGCCCCAGCCACGGCTCACTGACAGGCCAGACGGCCCGGCAGAGACAAGGGAGAGGAAGAGACATGCATGAAACGGCGGGTAGAGTTTGGAGCTGTGGCTGGTTTCCCCGGACGTTCAGGTGGGGCGTGGCTGGTGTTCCTGATGCCCCTCTGAATTCCCTAAGCCTTCCCGACTTTTCCAGCTCTGGTGCTCCCTGTCTTTGCTGGCCTGTCTCATCACCAGTGGACACAGGAACCACAGGCCACGTCAGAGCCAGGATGGAGTCCGCACTTCCTATAGTTGCCTGAGAACGACTTGCAGTTTGCCATGAGCCTTCTCCAGGTTGAGAGAGGTCTTGGTCAGGGGTTGCTTCCTCCAAGGCTGGGTGAGGTACCCCTCTGGAGCGGCCTCGGAGTCTGCTGTGCAGCCCTCTAGCATGGTGTGCTTAGATCAGTGGGCAATTTCAGCTGAGTCTGTGACTCCCTTGTAGACTGGGAGTTTCTGGAGAGGTCATTACCAGCAACCAGCACAGCGTGCTCTGCATAGCAAATGCTTCATCATGAGACAGTGGCTGGGTGGATGAACGGTGGACTCTGCCCTTGAGGACGGGACAGCACGTGACCACGCCTGTGTTCCTCATGGTGCCTGGTGCAGGTCTTTGCACGTAGTGGTGGCTCAGTAAGTGGGTGCAGAGTGTGTTCTCAGGGCGCTCCTTGAGACTAAGATCAATTCACAGCGTTTGAGTACCTCACAAGTGCTGTCATAGGTTCTGAGAGGTTTTTACAAACAAGTGTAAGACATCGTCCCTGGCTTCTAGGAGCACATCTTGTTGGATGTTCAAGTTAAAATAAAACTATTAAATTGTCGTTCAAGTCATATAATAACTCAGGGCCAGGATGAGCTGTCCAGATGGGTGTTAGGGTTGCTACCCCAGGTAGAGGGCTGGCTCCATGGGGCTTGCAGCATGTAAGTTGCATGGACCCCTGTACTAAGGTCTGATGCTCTGCTCTGGCCATCTTGACATTCTTAGTTTTTGAATAGCGAGCCCTGCATCTTTATTTTGCCCCAGGCCTTGCAGTTATGTCGCTGGTCCTGACCCAAGATCCAAGCTGCCCAAGAAAAGCTCTGTGATAGGGGGTTTGGCTGGGCAGAGAAGATGAGCAGCAGAGCTGGGCCAGAGCTCCCCGAGGATGTGGCCATCCTGGCGTCAAGCCTGGTGCAGTGCTGCGGCCCGCTCAGGACAGGCCTTTGGGAAGAGTGGGGCAGGGAAGGGGTCGGGGGCATGGCAGGGCAAGTGCCCAGCTCAGTGCCTGACACTGTAAAGGGACATTGCTACTGTTGCTAAGAATCCATTCTGTGCCTTGGGAGGTCAGAAAACCAAGGGGACACCTGGGCCAGCAGGGCTGGAGAGGAGGTGCTGGTACTGGAACCACAAATGGGATAGAGAGAGTAAGGGGAGGACGTGTGTGTGGTGTGTTTAGAATGAGTGGAAGGTAAAGCCTGAAACTCGGGGAGTAGCACAGTGAACCCTGTACCTCATGGCCCCATCCTGTCATGCCTTTATGTTGTCAGGCTGGAGGTGGGGGTCCTTCGGCTGACTTCCTTACAGTGGCCCTCCCTCGTGAGCCCCCATGGTGTGCTGATCTGGGGCCAGGCAGGGTTCAGGGCTCCCAGGGAGAGAGGCCTGGCCTCTGCTCTCCCCTGTCTTGGTATGCGCCCTCCCCCTGGGGCCCTCCTGCTCTGTTCTGTCTGTTGGTGTCTGGGCTTCCCTATCCAGTCTTCCTTCTTTCTCCGTAATGAAGGGAAAGGTGGAACCAAGCCCCGCACTCATGTGGCCCTGGCCCACTCTCTCCTGCTCTCCTCAGCAGAAAGATTGTCAGGCTCAGCTACTGGAACAGTGTGACGAGTGACCTTGGGCAACTTTCTTAACCTCTCTGGTCTTTAGTTTCCTTAGGAATACATGTGGCACTGCCAGGAGGTGAGGCCATGATGGAAAGGGTCTACCACAGCATTCTGCTGAGGACATGCTAAGGCAGGGTATTTGCTGTGTGTCCCTGTAAGTGTTGGCCGAGGCAGCTGTGCACATCAGGAAACCATCCTCAGAAGTGACATGCACTTGGGTGTCTGGCTCCTGGTTCCTAGGGTAGTGCACCAAAAGTGCAGACAGGTGGAGGCTGCCCCTTTAGGCAGTTCTGTGGCATGTGGGGGACACAGGTGGGCACAGAGAGGCCTATTTCAGGGCCTGGCTGATTTGGGTACAGAGGGATGTGGGGCTGTGGGTGGTTTGTGCAAAGTACAGAGTGGCCTGCTCTTGTGACTATCAGGGGTGCTGACATTTACCAAGTGTTCGTCATGCCCTGGTGTCCTGAGTGCTTTATGTGAATTGCCTCCTGCTTTAGCACCGTAATGGTGTTCCACAAAGGTGACGGTATTTATAGGTATTTGGGAAATGCCAGTTTTCCTTCCTTCCCAATGCATTTGTCCCTGTTTATTCACATTGTGGTAAACATTTGATTGTCATCCTGGCCTCACTGAATAGAAAAAAAGTCAGTAGCCTAGAATTTTGGTACATTTCAAATATATTTTATTACTTTTGTTTTTGTCTTAGAAAGAATATGAAACCTGCATGCAAGGCTAATGGTTTCTGACGTGTGCATAGCATATGACACAGCCGTACAATGAGGCATGTACTGAAGGGGCAGTGTGTGGAGGGGGCGTTCTTAAGAGAATATTTACAGAGAAAAGGGCATGTGGCTGTTTCGGCCTTCAGAAGAGGACTGCACTGTTTAACATTGAAGAATTACGCGGGGAATCACAGATAGAATGCTTCTGTCCTGCCTGTTCTGTTGCAACGAGGGAAAGAAACATGCTCCGAAGGTTCTCCATCATTGATAGAATGTGTGTCTGTAGCTGTGCATTGTGTGTGTCTGGGTAGATTTTTAAGTTTTCTTGTCAGGTTTTGCTAACAGTGTTGGGAACTTCACGGGCTTCCAGAGCATTCAGTACTGAAGCAGTGAACCTTTCACAAGAAGGAGAGAAGACCCAACCCCTTCCTTAAGGACCCTATGCTTTGCCATCCCAGAATCTTGGAAATGTTTCCTAGAGTATGTAAAAATAAACTGGGGGGATGGGGTGGGGATGAAGCACATTTCTCTGGCAGCCAAACTCAAGTTCCTTAACAGATGCAGAGAGATCGGCTTCTGCTTGCCCAGTGACAGGGGCCACTGTGGAGTCCCCCTGAGGCTGTGACCAACCATGAGCCCAGGAGAGCTCATGGCAGCTGTGTGGAGGCACCAGGACCTCTGAGCGGAAGCTTCCTGCATTAGCAACGGAGCAATGCTGCTATGAAATGTTTGAACCAAGCTCTGGGTTCCTCCCAGGCGCTTATAAAGCTCAGATGTAGTGATGTCTGGACAAATACAAAAAAAGCTTTTTTTTTTTTTTTTTTTTTTTTACAAAGGAAAGGCATAAGTTTCCCCCTTTTCGGTAAAAAGCAGTGTGTGATAAAGTCTGGAGCACGAGAGAAGGGTCTCACATCTGGAAGCCTTCCGCACACAGCTATAAAATGTAAAAACTGACCCTTGGTAAAAAGTGCTTTGTAACAATATATAATTTGTGTCTTATGCCTGTGAGAAAGAAAAGGTTTGTTTGTTTGTTTGTTTGTTTTTTTATCTGCAGAGTCCTTTGCTCCTCTCCCAGCTGGTATGAAGTTTTCCCATGTGGGATTTTTCACCCTACTCTTCGTAGACCCTAGGAAGAGAAAACACCCATGTCAGTGGTTCGGGATGTGACACAGACGATCCACAGGCCAGTGGCTAAGCTGCTTCATCCTTGTCTTCAGGAGCGCCCCTCCCAGGGATTCCGGAGCTTGGGAGAAGTGGCGGTAGGAGTGGGGAACCCTTCAGAGGTCATCACACGGACCACAAAAGCTTACCCAAGTCTGGCTTTGTGCATTCTCAACAGCCTCCACATCTGCAATCCCCAAAGCCCCATGGAGCAAACCGTGTCTATATGTGAGGAAATTGAGGCACAGGGGACTTCAGATTTTCCCTATGAACACTGAATGTCAGTGGTGGGAACGAGGTCTGTTTGCAGCATGAGCAGGGATGCGACATGGGAGGACAGGTAGCCCCTCCTTCAATTTAGGATTGCATCTTTCTTTGTATTTTGCCCAGAGAATGCATGTCCTCCAGAAAAATGCTAGTTCTAGAAGCTGCTGCCTGAAGACTGAAGGGTGGTAGTAGGGCTGGGGCTAGGGCTGTCGGGGAGGCCTGTGGCTCAAGATCACTTCCTCTAGTGGTTGTGGCCCTGTGTGCATTCCCAAGCTGGTCTTTCCCCCTCACCTTCCAGACTGTCTCTCTTTAGGTACTTAAATCCCTTCTCTTCTGCCCCATGGCTGTTCCAGGGCCATGCTCAGATTCCTCTGCCTCCTTCCTGATTCCTGAGTAGGATCACCTAATTGTGCTCTGCCTGATGCGCTGCTTCCCGTGGCAGCCGGAAGCTGGGGGCTCTGAGATGCGGATCTGCTAGTCTGGCTCCATGGGCCTGGGCTGCCGGGCTGGCTTCTCCTTCCTCTACCCTACGTTTAGCATTCTCTCACTGTCTCTGCAAAGGGGACTTCGAGATAGTTCCTTTCTCTCCATTGTACATTCATGGAGACATTTTCAACCTTTTACAGGCGGATGGCAAGGAATTGCCCCCTTCTTCTCCCAGGATGCCTCAGCTTCCCCAGAAAGAGGACGAGCTCATTTTGTAATGAAGTGACGGGAGGCCTGGTAACGGAGATGCTCTCGTCATTGGAATTTGCCGCAATCAAAAGAGCAGGGCAGCATTGTCCCATGCCTGCCTCCTCTTCATCAGAGCTAGGGCCCAGGTGGAGGGCCGAGGGACAAAGTGTGCAAACCGCCTCAGTGTCTGCCAGCAGTCTGGTGGAGATGTCCTCAACCCCCTCCCCGGACGGGCCCCGAGGTTAGCCTCGTTCCACTTTGATGACGCAGGGCCCGGAGAGTGAGAGTGGACGGGGCAGGTCCTGCTTCTGCCACGTGAGCCACCTGCCCTGACCAGAAAGAGGGCTTCATTCCCAGCAGATTTATAGAAAATAATCTCTCACTCTCATCAGTTTCTATTTCAAGCAACTGCAAACAAGGCAGTTCTGGAGGCAGCACAGAAGGCTCAGGTATTGGGCTTGGGCCCAAGTGTCAGCCAGTGGAGAGCTGGTCGTGGGCTGAGCTTACAGTGGAAGGGCTGGGTGGGACAATGGGAAGGGTAGCTCAGGCACCCACTCTAGGCAGGGTGAAGGTGACCCTGCGAGGCCTGGCTTCCTGCCCTGTGCTCCCAGGGAAGTTACTCCCCACCTCCACTTAGCCTTGGTTTCCCCCTCTGCAGGATGAGGTGCTGGCAGCAGCTCTGGAGGAAGTCCCCTCTGTGTGTGTGCACGCAAGCGCTTCTCGGAACATGCTGGGTAGGTACAGGTGGAGACAGGCCCTGAGTGTGTGGGGAGTCGGTGTGCTCTGGGACAGGCTCTCTTGTATGTGGTATGAGGAAACCAGGAACTTGCCAAACATAGGACCCCAGGAGATTAGAGATAGAAAGTCATTTTCTGATTATGGAGAAACAGAGCCCAGAGAGGACAGGGGTCTGGTTCACGGCTATGGTCATCTGGTTGCTGCTGCCCTCTGAGATTAGGAGTAGCTCTGATTTTAAAGGGTCAAGCCCAAGGTCCCTCCCTGCACCTGCATGGGAGGGAATCTCTCATCTTTCTGGGCAGCAGGGAGCATGCAGCACTTTGAGGGGAGGGAATGTTGCTGGCGAGGCACTGTCCTCATCATTTTGTGTTGTTGTATCCAGTGTTACAGTTAATAAACCCCAGTTACTTGAGTGGTCGTGTTTTACCACATAAGAATCACAGAGAGCCACTCCAGGTGCTTGCTCATTCATTTGACAGAGGGAAACTGAGGATCGGAGACCTTAAGTTACTTTAAAAAGAAGAGGAATTAAGACTACAACTTAAGGGCGCCTGGGTGGCTCAGATGGTTAAGCGTCTGCCTTCGGCTCAGGTCATGATCCCAGGGTCCTGGGATCGAGTCCCGCATCGGGCTCCCTGCTCCTTGGGAGCCTGCTTCTCCCTCTGCCTCTCTCTCTGTGTCTCTCATGAATAAATAAATAAAATCTTTAAAAAAAAAAAAAAAAAGACTACAACTTAAAAAGTTAGCATGGTGCAAACTTTAGTTCACAAAAGGTTACATTTTCTTTTTTCTTTTTTTTTTTTAAAGATTTTATTTATTTATATGAGACAGAGAGAATGAGAGAGAGAGCACATGAGAGGGGGGAGGGTCAGAGGCAGAAGCAGGCTCCCTGCCGAGCAGGGAGCCCGATGCGGGACTCGATCCAGGGACTCCAGGATCATGACCTGAGCCGAAGGCAGTCGCCCAACCAACTGAGCCACCCAGGCGCCCAAAAGGTTACATTTTCGATGCTTACAATTGTCCAAGAGAGGAATTGCCTGCTTTGGGAAGTGGTGAATTCCTTACCGCGTGGGGCTCGATAAGCAGGGCTGGCTATCTGCTTGCTGTGGCTACTGTGGTGGGTGTTCCCCCATTAGATGGGGCTTGATGAGCTAGATAGAGTCCAGGATCTGGAGCTGGGGGGAAGGTGGGAAGGAAGGGGCGAGGAGGTGGGCCGTACCTGCGCTTCTCGTTCCAGGCGTTGTACCATTTGATGAACCGCTTGGTGCTCTGCAGCTTGGGGTGCAGGCAGTGCTCCTGACCCCGGTACCTGGACACGCTCTTAGTGGTGATGCTGAAATGGAGCAGCATGGGGTGGAGGATTGAGGAACCTGAATGAAACCCCTCAGTGTGGCCTGTGGGTGGCCCTGGTCTGTCCCAGTCAGGACACTGAGAGACTGTGGCCTCCTCCCTCCTTTCATGGGAGCGTGCCCATGTGCTCACTGCCTGGCTGGCTCTTGGGGAGTTTCTGGGTGTCCCCTTAGGCTCTCACTTTTCCCCTGGAGCCCTTAGAGTCTGGGATAGTCCCCTTACCCCGTCCCTACCCCCATGAGGCTGTCGTTTACAGGGCTTATGCCTCCCTTGGAGAACAAAGCTCAGGGGACTCTTCCAGCTGCTCTGAACCTGGGATGGAGAGGTGGAGAGGTGGTCTCTGTCTGACCCTTCAAACCCCAGTTCCACTTGATCCTCTGAAGATTGTCCCTGGGCTAGGCATTGCAGATCTTGAAGTTAAGTCTTGCTGGCCTTGAAGCCCCTTTTGATTCCTGAGCACGAAGTCCCTGTTGTCTCAGCCTCCGGCCAGAAAGTAAGACCTCCCTTCAGGCCTCCGTCAGCCAGTGTTCCAAGCCAGTGGAGGCCCTAGCCGTGTGGGAGGGAAGCAGGTGGAATCATACAGAGTAGGAATCCCAGGTCTGTCTGTGGACCTTGGGTAAACTCTGAATGAGTTTGCCCATCTGTAAAATGGGTCTAATTATATGACATACCTCTTAGGATTATTGGGTGATGAGATGATATAATCTATGGAGAATGCCTAGCACCTGGTAGATGCACAGTGAAGAGTTACTGTCATTAGTATTTGGAAGATGGGATGGCCAGGGGGAAGGAGAAGCCTTAGTGTGTGAGCTCCAGCCTGGACGGGGAGGCAGGACTGCTGCCCAGAACCTCTACGCCCCTCTCAGCCAGGGCTGAGCTAGGGCGGCAGGATTTAGGAGGAAGCTTCTGGGTGGGCGAAGAAGGATGGTATTCCAGAATGAGGGACCACGTAGGGGACCTGAAAAAGTGCAAGGGGAGAGGGGCCATTCCCTGAGAGGTCACAGCACGAGCAAGGGATGTTCGTGGACTGGGTGCAGGGGAATGAGCTGTGGGGCCAAAGAGGGGCAGTTGGGGGCTGGAATGGGAAGAGCAAGAAGGGAAGGAGAGAGGTCAGCTAAGGCCCCACAGGTTCCCAAAGATAAAGTGTCAGGGCACATGTCAAGTTCTAGATGGGAGCAGGGCCACCATGAACGACTGTCCCAGTTGACAGGGAGAAAAGAATCTTGCCACCACTATAGGGGCAGAATATTTCTGGGCAACTTGTTCTCTTCCCTTCTCTGTGCTCTGAGTTTCCAAGGCCCCCACCACAGCCTCAGCTTCCTCGAGCAGGTGTTGATCTTCTGCTAGTGCCTGTGGACTGGGCTCTGCCTTCGCTGGCCTTCCCTGAGACCAGTCATTCCCCTGGTCCTGTCCCTCCTTCTAGGTGTCCAGCACAGGGCCAGGCTTCAGGGGGAGCGTGCTCCTTCTCCTCCCTGCGGTACCTGGTTGCTCTGCGGGAATTTAGCCCACTGCTCTCTGTCTACAATACTGCTTTTGCCCTCCGAAAGAAAGGATGTGGCCAAACCTGATGAAAAGCCCTTCCTCAGTTAGGTCACTGTACAGGCTGAGGATGCCCAGTCCTGAAGGGAGGGGCAGCAGGGGAGGACACTCGACCCTCCCAGCACAGTCCTCAAATGCTTGTCACAATATTGGGCCTGTGAAAATTGGTTGCGGGGTGGAGACATGAGGATTTCTGTTCCCAGCAGTTACTCAGAAATTCTGGGTCCTGCGTCCTCTCTCCTCAGCGGTTCTGGGTGCCGAGGGTTTTGGCAAGAGTTCAGTGGACATATGACACAAATTGCCCTTTATAAGATCTGGAGTCTCCGGGTGCAAGAACTCCCACTTGCAAAGCTGACTGCCCTCCCCACCCCACCCCCAGCCTCATCAGAGATTTCTGGGTGACTCAGGGTGAGCTGCAAAACTTGCTTTTGTTCAGCTTTTGTGCTGAAAACCTGCTTTGGCAAAAAGTGCTGGCCCCTTGTCTGATCTAGAGACTCTTAGGAGCTTGGGACGGGAGAGGGTGTTTAGCCCTTCAGGGATGGGCGGGGACCTGGGTGTGAGTGAATCAGGTTTTGGAGACGCTGACTGTGTTCGGACCTCCAGAGGCCACTACAAGTTTTCACAAGGCTGCGTAAGGCCTTCCCGCATCTGCCCGCTGCTGTCAGTTTCTTCTCTATTCTAAAAAGTTTTGCCAGGAAAAGGAGTAAGCCTGTTTATTGAGGGTTCTGTCCTTTGGAGATGGCTCTGCACCCCATACCCTGCTTCTCCTTCCCTGAAAGGTCTTGACACCTTGCCTTGGGGCATGGGGTGGTTTTCAGCACTTAGAGGAGTGCAGACCCTGTCATCTCCAGCCCCCGAGCTGGGAACCATGGGGTGGGGGGCTTGTAACTCCTCTCTCAGCTTCTGTAACCCTGGACCTCACCAAAAAGGATTTTCTGGCAGTTTTTCGGGACTTGGGTTTGCAAGGCAAGGGGGCAGGGACAAGAGGTTAATTTAAGTGCCTGGGCGGAAAGGCAGTGGGGTTCAGCTCAAGCCTGATGGCTTTGCAAATTCCCCTAACTTGAACCTGACTGTGCAGCCCCCAGGTGGCAGTGGGGGGTGGGGGCTGCCTTTGCATACAGTGTGTGGAGGCCTTTGGGCCAGCAGGTCCAGCAGACAGAAGGCACTTGCCCAGACTGAGAATTAAGTGTGTCCTGTTGCTGGGGGAGGGGAAGAGGGGCCAACGGTCCGTGGCAGATATTTGGTAGCTGCTTTGCCAAGGGCTTCCTTCCTGGCCAAGTGCGTATTGATGGGGAAACAGTGGTACTGGACTCAAGTGGTTAATTGGGAAGGCAGAGGAGCAAGGAAACTCAGTGTTCTCTCACTCTGCCCCAGTTTTTAAAATATTCCTCGCATCCCCACTAAGCAGGGCTCCAGCCGCATGGCACGTTAACCCCAGCAGAACCCTTTGCACAGCACTGTTCAGGCTCAGGGACCCACGAGAGTCCAGCCGGTGGGGAAGATCAAGGATCAGTCCCAAAATGAAATCGCTAGAAGCCAAAAACTGACCGTCTGTGGTCCCCTGATCAGAAAAAGGCTCTGAAAGGAGGGTCTGAGGACTTAAAGACATTTGTTTTTATTCTCTCTCCAGTAACAGGAAGGCAGCACGCCTCCCAGTTTGGGTGCAAGTACAATAGTTCTGGGTGTGTTTTGAGTGCTCTCAATCCGGATTTTCTAAAGTTGGCACAACGGGAGCCACTTAACCCTTGATCATCCCAGAAAGGTGGGCAGTGCAAGCACCTAGGCTGCCCATTTGAATCTTAGCAAGGGTGAACTCCCAGAGGGCTGTTTCCAGAGCACCCGACAGTGACCCTCTTTCCAAACTCTCTTTCACACTGTCGCGCCAGCGTCCCAAGGACTCGCTGGGCAATTACAAAGGCTGGTCCAAGGCCTTGCCGGAGGCACAGAGGAATGTTTGTTAGCCCGCCCGATCCAGCCCCAAGCTGTGCCCCAGCACCGGGTTAAGAGCAGCGCGCACACGCTCACGGTGAGGAGCCAGAACTCACATAACCATCTTCTCCTCGCAGTGCGGGTACTTTGGCTTCATTTCCAGCTTCTTCACGTCGCTGTAGCGAATCTTGGGTCCCTTTCGCGAGCACTTGCATTTGGACCCTGCAAGAGAGGGCGCGGGGTGCCGTTCAGCCGCGCGCGGGATCTCCTGCCCCCGACCTCCCTCGGTGCCCACCCAGAACCTCCAGGGTCGCGGGAAGCCCAGCAGTTGGCGCCTGGGTGCCCCAGCACGGCACGGGGCGGCGACGAGGGACCTCCCGGGCACTCACCGTCCACGCGTGCGGCGCACAGCGCCAGGAGCAGCAGGAGCAGCGCAGCCGACAGGAGCCTCATGCTGGCCGGAGGGGCGCAGGGCGCGGGAACAGGGACTGGGGAGGGCGCCCGGCCGGCTCGGCTCTCTCTGCCCGGAGCGCGCCTCCCGGCTCCGCTCGCTCCCGCTGCGCCCGTCGGTGGGTGGCTCGGCTGCCGCGCTGCGCTTCTGCGCTCCGCTCCGCGCGCTCTCCGCAGCCTCCCTCCTCCCGCCCGGGCCCCTTTTTAAATCCGCTCCTGCCCTCGCCGCAGCGAGCTCATTAATATGCAGAACCACTCGGTGACTCACTGAGATTTCTCAGCGAGGTGGGGGGAGGAGACCTTCCCCGCCCCGGGGCCGTGATCACAGCGGCTCTCCCTCGGAGCCACGCGTGCACAAGCACCCTCACACCGGCTGCCCTCTCACTTCTGCGCGCACGCTTGCACACCCGGACTCTAGCCCGCGCCCACCGCCGGTGCCCGGGCTGTACCGGACGCTTGAGAGGCTGCTTAAGGGTCCTGCTTTTCCGATCGTGTGGTTCCCTCTGGCCAGTCGGGCCGGCTGAGAGCCCCAGGCCCGCGGCCCAGATCTTCTGAGACTGAAAGGGTTTTGGAGCAGGTGCTAGGTGTGGGTGCCAGCAGGCCTGACTCCTAGGGCGTGAGTTGTCCTTGCTGGGCCAGCAGCCTTGGTGGCCAGAGCACAAGGCCAGGTCTGGAGGGAGGTTGCCATAGGTTGTTCAGCAGCAAAGCCATTGCCTGTGGCGGCTGGGGCTGCCTGCAAGGGTGGGTGTGAGGGAGATTTGGTCGCTCTGACAGGAAGGCTTCCTAAAGTGGTGTGTGGCTGTGTGAGCTGCCTGGTGGGGGGGGGGGGGGGGAAGCCAGGGGTTCCTCATTGTCATACCATTCTCTAAAGCCTCTGCCCAGTAGGCAGACATGGCAGTGGTAACCATCTGGACAAAGTCCATGTTCCCCACATATGCCAAGCTCTGTGGTGGAGTGGTGTGGGCCAAGGCATGGCAACAGAAAGTCCTGCTCGATTACTTAAAAGTGCAAGTGACTTCACTACTTTAAGGCTTCATTTTGCCTCCTGTGCCTGTCATCGGGTGGCTGTGAGAGCTGTGTAAGATCAGACTTATAAAGTGTTCAACAGAGTGCCTGTCCCATAGCTGGTGCCCAGGAAATGTTACTCATTGGTATCATTATAGGATGTATTTTAATATGTATCCTTTTGATTCTTATAAGTCCTTTTCTAAGTTGGTGATTTAATTCCTTATTTGATGGGTATGGACACAGACTCAGAAGAAGAAATAACGTGGGTAAGATCATGTGGCCAGGAAGCAGGTGGCTAGGCCAGGAGGGGCCCTGGTATATGTGGTTGCAGCTCTGGGGCGCCAGTTTCTGGGCTGTCCTGCCTCCCTCAGGCACTTGGGGAAGTGCTTCCTTCTTAGACTCAGCGACAGGGGATGGAGAGTCTCAGGCTCCAAGGGTCCCTGGGCTTGGCTCCCAGGCCACAGCTGAAGCCAGGGCAGAAGCTGCCAGGTTCTTCCAGCTCACACAGCTCTGTGCTGTCAGCTCACTAACTCTCTGGGGGTGCAAATACCCAGAGAGGGTCCTGGGGGGATGGGGAGGGCAGGATGCTGGGGGCAGAGTAGGAAAATGTGTACTGTCTCTTGCCAGTTTGAAACCTTGGCTGCCTTGAGAGGATGCTTGGCCATGAAGAGCCTGCCAGAGCTCGTGAGCTGGCTTCAGGCCATTTCCTGCGTCCTATGCATGCAGTTGTATCTATACTTAAAGCAAGGCCAACAGTTGGACATTTGGGTTTATGCAGATGAGTGCAAGGGAGTGATTTTTTTGGCATTAGCATTAATTTTTAAAATTTCTAATCTTCTGAAAATTTTTCTTAGTACAAAACCAAAACATTTGTCACAGAAAAATCAGAAAACACAAGCAGAAGAAAACATAAAAAACACACACACACACACTTCCACCCACTCAGAGGTCTACACCAAGATGCCAACAGTGTTATCTTTTCAAACCCTGTGTCTTTGCTTGCATTCATTTGCACAAATGTGATCAGTGTGTGTGTCCTATTCAATAACCCGCTTGTTTTACCTATCACCATATCATCAACATTCTCCCATATGACTGGTTTTGCTTCTCCAGTCTCTTTTTTTTTTTTTAAAGATTTATTTATTTATTTGAGAGAGCGAGAGTACATGAGACGGGGGAGGGTTAGAGGGAGAAGCAGATTCCCTGCCGAGCAGGGAGCCTGATGTGGGACTCAATCCCGGGACTCCAGGATCATGACCTGAGCCGAAGGCAGTCGCTTAACCAACTGAGCCACCCAGGTGCCCCTCTCCAGTCTCTTTTTAATAGCGTCGTATGAAGTCATAGAGCATCATGCCTGAGAACTTGGTGTCTCCATGTCACACTGCCTGGGTGTGAATCCTGCTACTAGCTGTGTGACCTGGGGCAAATGATTTAATTCTTTTCAATATTGATTTTCTAATCTGGGAGGTGGTGATGACAATGGTACTTACAGCTTAGGGAGAATTAAATGAGATGGTGTCTGCAAAGCTTTTAATGCAGTCCCTATCACAGAGTAAGTGCTCAATAAGTGCTGTGTATTGTTTTAGTATTTTGGATGCAGCATATTCCACTGTACAGATGTGTCATAATTACTTTAAGTAATTACTCTCTGCTAGACATGTAGATTGTTTTCCACCATATTATTTCAGAAGCAGTGCTGTGTGACAGATATTCTTGTAGCTCAATTTTGGGGCCCTTTAAAAATCGATCATGTCTCAGAATCACTGGGCCATGGGTTATGTCCATTTTAAGGCTTTTAATACAAATTGCCCTTTAAAAAATATAATGCATTTTATTCTGCAAAAAGGATTTCTTACCTACTAAGCTTTCTCAGAACATGTGAAATCGATCTTTTTTTAATTAACAGTGCTGATTAGTTAAGTAGGATCTAACAGCATCCGGGATCACGGGCACTGAGCTTTTATAGGAGAAAGTGGTTGGCCCTAAAAATACGGGCCAGTTTCCCAACTTCCAGGGTGAGACCAGAGGTCAGACAATCTAGTGTTTTGTCCCTAGTTGTATTCCTTAGTCTATGTATGCTCATCTTTGGTTTGCAAAATACAGCCATGTGTTTTGTTTTTTACGATTTATTTATTTATTTATTTGAGAGAGAGAGAGAGAGAGAGACCGCACACACAGGGGGGAGGGGGAGAGGGAGAGGGAGAGAGGGTCTTAAGCAGACTCTACACTGAGCGTGGACCCCAGTGCAGGGCTGGCTCTCAAGACCCTGAGATCACAACCTGAGCCAAAACCAAGAGTCGGATGCTTAACTGACTGTGCCACCCAGCTGCCCTAAAATATAGCCATGTGTTTCTGCAAGCAGAGCTCACTCCTGTTTGTGTGAGTTCTTTCAGGGTCACTGGTACAGGAGAGGATGGGGGCCTTCTGCTGCCAACCTGTCTGTGGGTGATGCCGCTCAACTGAGACAGAGGGGGTTTCAACCTTTGACTTGCCTTTAGGGTGCAGACTCTCTACTGAGCTCACGTGGGGGTTCTTTGAGCAGGTGGATGAGGCAGGGTGAGGTGGATATGGGGAGGCAGTTCTCTGCACAGCAACACTGCCTGATTGAAGGGGATCCCTGGAGTGCAGTGAAGGACCACACACATATCCTGCCCTTTGGAGCACAATCTGGTGTGTGTGTGTGTGTGTGTGTGTGTGTGTGTGTGTGTAGGTGATATGCTGGCCTCTGTGGAAGGGGTACATGCAAGGTGTGGGGGGCACAGAGGTGGGAGGAAATATAAGCAGAAAATCATTCCTCAAGGGAGTGGAAAAATTGGCTGAGATCCTAGGAATTTGCATATTTATTCTGTTCACAGTGATTGAGTACCCTCAGTGTGCCAGTCTCGTGCAAGGTGCTGGGGATATAAGGTGAGCGGAGGAGGGGTGTACCTGTTCCCAAGGAGTTCAGAGTCTAGTGGGGAAGACAGACATTAATCAGACAACCAGAAATGCACATGAAATTACTGCAGAGCTAGATGTGATGAAGGGAAGCTAATGCTATGGGGCTCATCAAGGGATCTGAGCAGGTTGGGGGGTGGGGGTGGCTTCCCAGAGGAAATGCCCACTGGACTGCAGTCTGAAGGATGAGAAGGTGTTAACTGGGTGACAGTGGGAGGAAACCACTCCCGCCCCCTTATAGTCTCTGCTCCTCACACAGTGATCTCCTGGGGTTAACCCCCTGCTCAATGCCTTGCTGGCTCCCGATCTCACTCAGAGTCAAAGCCAGTCCCCTCGTGAGCAGCATCCACCTCTCTCCCTGTGGCCATGCTCCACCAGAGTGCCTTGTCCTCTCCTTCAGACATGCTGAGCCTGTCCCTATCTCTGATCTTTGTCCTTGCGGGACTCTCTGCCCACACCACTGCTCTCCAGGTGTTGGCAGGTGGCCCTCTTCTCCCAAATAGTCACTCTTGAGACCCAGTCACACTGTCACTCTCCTCGTCCCTGTGCCTGCAGTCACTCTGTGCTGTTGACCTATTTTACTTCTTACATTGTATGTGCAGCAACCTCACATGGTACCATGTTAATGTTATTTGAGAGTGTATTGTGGGCCATCCTCTGTTCTGCTGGTTCTGTGAAGGTAGAATCTGTGTCTTCCTTACTCATCCTCAACCTACTGCAGTGCTTGGCCACATCTTTGAATAAATAAAAGTGTGTTTCAGGCAAAAGCCCAGGGGTGTGATAGAGAATTGCTGAATCCAGGCTGTGTAGACTACATGGTCAGGTGAGAGAGGGAGAGGGTAGGGTAGAGAGTGTGTGTGTGCGTGCATGCGTGCATGTAGGGGGTGGATAAGGGTGGCGATTGGCAAGACCATGTTCCCAGAAACGCCAGTTCTTCTCAGCACATTTGCTTCAGAAAAGTGTGAGGGGGAGGAGGTGAAGGGAGGAGGAGAAGGTGAATGAGCAGGGGTGTGGTTTTGCCAGGAAACCCTGCAGGTATCTGGGCGCCACCCCATAGGTCTGCTGAGCAGGTGGATGTTGACTGGTCAAGGCTGGTTTCCTGCCCAGGGAGCCCAGGGAGCCGAGAGACAATACTTCCCCATGGTGGAGGTCTGTGTACCTTTCGCCCAGCGTCACCCACAACCTGTGAGGCCCTGGGCAGCCAGTTGCCTCCTCTTTGCTGGCTTTCCTTTCGCACAGCTCTGC